CAAGAAGATCTCTTTCATTTCAGTTAATCCCAGATCCAATCAAGTTGACACCCAGGATTAGCCATCACAGTTTGTAATGCTAATTACTTTTGCCTTTACTTCTCCTTCACATCTCCTATTCACGATTCAAAGACTTTCTTTTCCTTCTTGAGATAAGAGTTATGCCATTTGGGAGTCTTTTAGATAAACTGACTGAAGGGGTACTCCAATTGCCTCACCCTGCGTCCCTGTTCAGCATGTACGAAGCCAGAGCAGTCTGCATCCCGATTCCCTACTGGCAATTTGGGTAACCTCTTCAGAGGATGGTGTGATAAAACTAGGAGGTAGGAATTGGTTAGGCAGTTAGGATAAAAAGACTCCAAAGAAAAGTAGCCAGTTTCTTGGCTAAAACTCACAATGTCCTTGGGCCTCTTAGCAACCTACTCCATTCCAAGGCCAGAAATGTTGAAAATATTTGGGAGCTTTTATCTAATCCTTAAAAGATTTTAGGGTTACCTCTTCAGGAGGGGGAATTGTTAGAGTAGCCAAAAGCCCCATTTAAAAAAAAATTAAAGAAAAGTACATGCTGGGCGTGGTGGTGTACACCTTTAATCCCAGCACTCAGGAGGCAGAGGCAGGTAGATCTCTGTGAGTTCAAGGCCAGCCTGGTCTACATAGTGAGTTCCAGGATAGCTGGGGCTACAGGGAGACCCTGTCTCAAAAAGACAAAAAAAAAAGTGATGGGGAGATATGGGAAGAGTTGGACAGGAGGGGTGGGCATGGATTTGATCAAAACACCTTATATGCATGTATGAAATTCTCAATAAATTATTTATTAAAAAATATATATGATCTTTTCTTTTTAACACTGAGCTGTTGAATACCAACTCACAAAATTCCTTCAACACTTAATTGACTCTCATGAGCCAGCATGAGTGAGTAAAACAGCATGCCAGTGATGTACTGACACACTTACAGAAGGTAGGTCAGGGTGGCAAAATCAGAGGCAGAACAATGAAAGTGGGTCTGTGGGACTAAGTCCATGTCGTTTTGTGAAATAAACACCCTGGGCAAAAAGGACAAAGTAGCTGGGCATGGTGGTGCACATCTGTAATTCCAGTACTCAGGAAGTAGAAGCAGTAGGATGAGGAGTTTGAGGCCAGCCTGGGCTACATAGTGAGTTCCAGGACAGATGGGACTATAGGGAGACCCTGTCTCAAAAAGACAAAAAAACAAAAAAAAACAAAAAAAAAACCTGGCATTGCATCTGGAATACCCTGGATCATTCCGTATGTTTCGACCTGATCAAAAGGCAGGGGAAGTGAGTGCTCACGTTTTATAGATGAACGGTTTGCAATGCTGAAGCCTGAGACGTTCCTGGGGTGGAACCACGGCAGGTGTAAGGCCATTTTTACACCCTCTTGCATCTTGATCCGGGACACTGTGCCGTTGCTGCAGAAGATTCCAATCTTCACCTCAGTGGCATCGATTCGGCCACTGATAGAGTGAGTGACCCCATCTGTGCAACTCTCGCCAGGTCCAATCTGCCTCAAGCGAGGGGCAGAGAACTGTAGCTCGAGGCCAATGCTCTTATGAGCTCTGACATCCCAGATGAAGGTTCTGTTGAGAGTGGGCAGCTCTGATGTGGAGGGCTGAAGTTTGACCTCCCCAAAAGGACATGGGCCTGACATGCAGTCTGCAAGAGAGACACAGAACAATTAAAAAATTTTTTGATTTATTTTTATTTATTTATGGGTATAAGTGTTTTATATACATGTATGTAAGTGCACCCATGCATACAATGCCTGTGAAGAGGGCATCAGATCACCTAGAACTGGAGTTATGGATGGTCGTTAGCTGCCATGCGGGTGCTGGGAATCGAACCCAGGTCCTCTGCAAGAGCAGCCAGTGCTCTTAACCACTGAGCCATCTCTCCAGCCCAAGAACAATTTTTATCACAGATGCTACAAGGCCACATGCTGCTCCCTCTCGGTCCCCTGTAGTAGGCTCTTTGGGAATGTGCCCAGGAAGCTTTATCAGGCAGATGCACCCACTCCGTGCTTCTCACTGATGGGTCTTTGCTGAGGGGTTATCTCAGCAGAGGAGTTATTTTGGACCAGGGAAACCCAAGAGGTCTGGTTGTCTTCCCATTCCCACTCCCGTGAGGACTGCATCACATAGCTGATTTAAGCCTGCTGTAGGACAAGGCTCAGACTTGGGTGCTTTGGGTGGCACGACCTGAGGCTGCCATTGCATCACTTCAGCCCTGGAATATTCTGTATGTTTCACCCAGGAGAGGCTGGACTCCAGCTACAACCATCGCCCCATGCACAGCTTCCTTCCTCCCAGGCCGTCTACGGCTTCCCTCCTATTGGATTTCTTCTGGGAGCATCTCCTTGTGGTGGTTAATCTTGATTGTCAACTTGACAGTATTCAGAATCACCATGGAAACAAGTCTCTGGACATGTCTGTGAGAGATTTTTCTTTTTTGGATTAGGTTAGTTAAGGTGGGAAGACCCATCCTAAATGTAGGTGGCACCATGCCCTGGGATGGGGTCCTGGACTGAAATAAACAGGAGAAAGTGAGCTGAGTGACAACGTTCATCTCTCTCTGCTTCCTGACTGAGGGCGCAATGTGACCAGCTGCTTCTTGCTCCTGCTGCCTCATCTGCAGCCAGGATGAACTGTATCCCTTGGAACTCTGAGCTAAAATTAACCCTTCCTTCCTCTGTTGCTTTTGTCAGGTATTTTGTAACAGCAATGAGACAAGTAATACAGAGAATACCACAAAAATCTGCATCTGAGACTCTGCAAGATACCTCCTAACAGCACTTCCCAGGCACGGTGTCCAGTTGGTGGCCTCTCACCCACACTCCTAGGAGCCACAGGAGCCTGCAGCTTGGGATAACTTACTTCTTCCACTGTGGTTTCAGTTTTTAGGGTACACTGCCAAGCTCCACCTATCTATTAAACTTCCCTTCCACATCTTTCCCACATGCTGAGCACACTCACACATAGCTACCCTGGTGACCTGACAGTGCAGTGAGCTTCCTCTCTTGTAGTTCTCTGACTACTATCAGCACTCCAGGGGAATTCTTTTTTTAAAAAAATATTTTATTTATTATTATTATTATTATTATTATTATTATTAGTAGTAGTAGTAGTAGTATTTTGTGTATGAGTGTGTTGCCTGCATGTTGGTAGGTGCACTTGTGTCGTGCAATACCTGCAGAAGCCAGAAGAGAGCTTTGGATCCCCTGGAACTGGAGTTTATGAAAGGTTATTAGCTGCCATGTGGGTGTTGGGAATTGAACCTGGGTCCTCTGCAAGAGCAGCCAATGCTCTTAACTGCTAAGTCATCTCTCCAGCCCCCAACAGGGGAATTCTTTTAAAGCTAGTAACTAATTACATCCTTTGATACGCTTTGTTTTCTAAGCCTTTTAAAATAAAGTGGATGTTACTATCAAGTGGGAAATAAGAGGAAAGATTGAATAGAAAGCAGGCAAGGCCACTTGAGGATTTTTATGTTGTACCCAAAGAGTGTGAGGGAGCAATGACCATTGGCCTGTGTAATTATGAATCTGTGGATCTCTAATCTCTACCCATGCTCCATTGGGAAGCTTGAAAGTCCTGTTGATGGAGCCAGGGGTGAAGCTCAGTGGGCAAAGTGCTTGCCATGTCAACATAAGGACCTAAGTTTAGATCCCAGAATACATAAAAAAGCTGGGCATAGGGCTGGGGAAGAGGCTCAGTGCATGAACTACTCACTATGTGAACATGAGGACCTCAGTTCAAGTCCCCAGCACCCCCATAAAATGCTGGGCATGGTTGTGTGACTATAATCCCAGCACTGGGGAGCGGAGACAGGTGGACCCCAGCTTTTAGTTCAGTAAGAAACCCTGTTTCAAGATAACAAGGTGGAGAATGACAGAGGAGGACATCAGTGTCCTATTTTGGCTTCTACATATATGCACATGGGCATGTGCACCTGTGCATTCATGTGCATGTACCACACAAGACACACACACACATACAAAGAGACACACACAGACACACACAGATACACACAGACACACATGTCAACTCTAAAGAGAATTACAGGAGAACTCTGGAGCAATGTAGGACCTCTGAGATCACTCATATCAAACCTCACATGTCTGCAAAGCAGTCCTGGAGTTTGAGTCATATAGTCAGTACAGAACATAGTAATCCCAGTCTGAAGCTGGGCTGAGTGTGGTCAACCTGTATAGTCAAACCAATAAAAATGGGTCAGATAAAGTGGTGACTAATATGGCTAAAATTAGACTTGTATGGTGATAAAGATCGTAGCTTTCTTTGGAGTCCATGGAATCTTTGTTGTATATATAGAGCAGCTCTTAGCTTCCCACCCTTTTCATTTTTCATTCATTCATTCATTCATTCATTCATTCATTCATTTGTGAGTAGCTGTGTGGAGGTCAGAGGACAAGTTGCAGGAGTGGATTCTCTCCTTTACCATGTGGGCTCTAGGGATTGAATTCAGGTTGTCAGGCTTGGAGGCAAGTAGCTTAACCCACCGAGGCATCTCAGTCACAGTTCACCCCTCCCACCACCACTATTTTTCACAGTCCTAGGGGAACAGCTGGTTCTGGCTGGTTCTTTCCACTGTGGGATCTTAGTCCCTACTGAGATAGAGCTCCTCAGCCCTGGTCCCCTAGACCTACACATATGCTTGAGCATATGGTTTAATTCTGTACCAAGAACTAGTCAAGAAGCCCTGTCTTCAACCTCAGTTCTGTTGCCAGACACAACACTGGGAAGTGAAAGTTGTGTTTGTCACCAAGAGATCTGGCTTACAGGACAAACATAGATGAAAGTGGTCCACTGACAGGCATGGCTACAAATCTGCTTTCTGCCCAATGCAAAAAACTCAAGTCAAATACTTCCTCCATGTGATAGGATTATAGAAGGGCTGTTATGTCCACTCAGCTTTTATGGGGTCGATAGGGAGGAGTTTAGGGGGGGATCCAAACACTAATCTTTATGCTGTATGGCAAGCTCTTTACCAGGTGAACATCTCCTGGGCCCCAGCTGCACTGTTCCCAATGGAACAAAACTACTTTGGACATCTTTGGTTGCCATGTACACAGACATGCTTCATTCTTTTAACAATAACATAGCATTACAAAGGCTCTGTCTGTGTATCAATATTCTCTGTAAGGACTTGATGTTTTAATTCCAATTGACTTAAACTGAAAAATTATTTTTGGGGAGAATTCACATTTAAAAAATATGCAGTTATCGGGCGTGGTGGTGCACACCTTTAGTCCCAGCACTTGGGAGGCAGAGGCAGGCAGATCTCTGAGTTCAAGAACAGCCTGGTCTACATAGTGAGTTCCAGGACAGCTGGGGCTACAGGGAGAACCTGTCTCAAAAAGGCCAAAA